CAATCTCGAATTACATCACTATAGCTCCATGTCTCCCTTGGCAGTTTGTGAATATTTTTCCAAACAAGTTTAATAATGTATCAGGTTTTTACATGAGAGAGTTACTTTTTAAAAAAAATTAAGCTTTTTATAATCTAAATTGATGCAAATTGTAAAATATTAACTATCTCATAGAGATTAGTCTCTTGATATTGTGGGCTATCTCCTCATCAAATAATTTTTATTTTATGATCTAAATTAGTCTGAATTATAAACAAAATTTTATATGTTTTTATAATTTATTATTAAATATACTATGCTTTTATGCATAATAAAATCAACTATAACAATTCTATATATAGTTACAATGACAATTTTATTATTATGATTATTTTATTATTATAATATCACATAAAATTATAATTTTTATTATATATAAAAATTATAAATTTATAATACTATATAATACTATAATTATATATTTTTAAAATAAACAATAGTGTTAGTTAACAAATTAGTGATTAATCAACATAATCAATAAGGGCTGGAAACAACGGCTAATAATTACAAAGAACGTTACGACAGAAAATCTAAATTTTGAATTTCTTATTTCATTAACTACATCGAAATCAAAGAAAAAAAAACTATTCTTTTAAAAAAAAGAAAAATCAAAGAGATAATTGAGGATAAACTCAAGAATTTCTTTTCTATTTCCTTTTTTTTTCTTCCCTCTTATCCTCCGGCGCACGGCACGTACGCTTACCGTCGGATCCCAACTACAACCACCACGTGTCAGCAGATCTCCACTTCTGGTCCCACATTATTACGCTGGTGCCGAAATACCACCGAGCATTCCGGCAGCTCGCCGAGATCGGCAAACAAAGACTCGTCCTCTTCTCTCATCGGGAAAAACATGGTGACGTCAGCGCCGTCCTCTGCACTCGTCTCTGTAAACAACGGACTCTCCAGCACCGTCGACAACGTCATCTCCATCTCCCCGAACCACGCGAACTCGTCGCCGGTGGGGAGGATAGAATTATCCTCGGCGAGATCCGCGAACTTCTTCTCATCTGGTCCGGGGATGGGTTCCGTGTCGGGCTGGGGCGTCGACGGTTCGGCCTTGACGGCGGCGGTGGCGGCTGGTTGTGGTTGTGCTGTAGTTATTGCGGTTGCGTGTCTGGCTGCTGCGCTGTTGTTTCTAGAAGCCGGCCAAGGGTGATTGTGTTCGCACGAGTACGTGATCACTAACATAGTGGGGTCCACGCGGCTCCTCTCTACTTGTTTTCTGGCTGGACAACCCTTTGAACTACTACACCTATAATATCCTCTGCCACAAGATCAATCATTGAACTCATTAACGGCTGATGATTGAAGAAAAAATTCCTAATATTATTACATTCATTTATTATATATAAAAAAAAAATTTCAAGACGTCTTAATACTAAAATATTTATTATTATTATCTAATAAATTTTTAATTGAATCTCACTTAACAAATGATTATAATAAAATGTTTTAATATTAAGAGATCACAAATTTTCAAATTCTCCATATATATATATATATATAAAAAGTTGTATGAAAAAATGGTTTATACAATTACCCTAAAATTATAATCCTACAGCTCATTGCGCACTGTATTACTACTCAGGTATATTTTAAAAAGTAGTTACCTTGGGTAGGGAGAACCCTTAATGGGTTTTTGGCCGTATTTTCTCCAAGCCCAAAAATCGGACGGCGGAGCGCTGCTCTCGCCCTTGAGACGGGATCCTTCGACGTCCTTGATCGGAACTGACACCACTCTTTTCTGTATGGATCTCTTTCTGTAATAAAACCCTTTCAACAACGGAAATACAATGCACGAAAAGGGAGTTTCTATGGGTTTTGCAGAACAGGGAAAAAAGCAGAGAGGTATACATGGAGAATTTTGGAGAATTAATATTACCCTTTTTTGGGGGAGAGCTTGAGGTCATTGGAGGTAGGAGAAGGGGGCGATTCGGGGCCGGTTTCTTGTGGGTTGTCGCTGTCTTCTTCACTGATAAACGGGTTGGCTTTGATGCCGTCCATGCTTTCAGTTTTTTAATCCTGTAGAGGGTTTCCTTTGCTTGATTCAGAAAATCTCGCCTGCGATCTGTTACCGAAAAAGGAGAAGAAAGAGAGAATAGAAAGGGAGAGATAGAAAGGAAGCAAAAATGGGAGAAAAGAAGAGGAAGAAAGGAGAAATTAGGGAAGGCGAAGAAACTGAGGGTGGTCCTTTTAAAAATGGGGCATCATGTTGACAGATGGATTTGTTTTATTTATTTATTTATTTATTTTAATTTTTGTGGCATTTGATTATAAATCACGCTGTAGCAAATGTGATTTATCCAAAAGCTTAATTTATTGCAATTTGAAAATAACCTTCTTTTCTTAATGTATTTTTATTGTATTTTCTCCTTGTTAATTATGTCATTTGATACGATGATGATGTTACATAATAATTTTTTTTATATTTTTTTGCCTTCAAATAATTGTTGTTTTTTATTTTAAAATTTTAAAATAATTATTATTTTTTAAGATAGAAATACTTTTTCATTTCAACTTTATTATTGTTTATACACTTTAATTAATTATCTAATTATAA